GTCTTCCCAGACCTTTCTCTACACTCACATTCTCTGCATAGGTTAGTCATAGCGTTCTGGGGAGCAGACCCGACACTTCTATCCCAGTGGCTGGAGGTGCCCAGCTTTTGGGTTGCAGCTGGATTTGCTGTCTTCTCTTTGCAAGGGCGAGGAGGTGTCCGTGTCTCTGCTTTGGTTATTTTGAGGAATTGCCTGGACTTTCCTTCATTAAAATAAATGGTGGGGATGAAGAAACCATTGTGGGTGAGAGAAGAGGAACCAACCACTCCCTGTACCTTCACTCTTGAGCATTTCAGGAAACTTTCCATCTCAGATTCCCCTGATAGTCTTGGGAACAAAGGGGAACCCAGGATCACTTAAAATACCACGTCGTCATTCTTGGGAACCCTCATCGAGTGTCCAAGCCCTATGCACGCTCATCAGATCCTCCCAACAGCCTCAGGATGTAGGTCTTGTTGTCCTCATTTGCACACGGGGAGACTGAGGGCGGGGGGAGTGGAGTATGGGGGTGGTGGAGTGTGTTGGAGGGAAGGGTGGTAAGTCCCAGGGAGGTGGGGGGAGTGGGGTTCTTGGGGACGGCCAACTGCTGGAGGTGCAAGTGGACAACAGTTCCTGTTTGTGTTTGGACCAAACCCCAAGCCCATGCCCAGCACATTTCAGGACCAAAGCTGGGGTTTAAACCCAGGCCGCTGGGAGCCGTCTAAAAGGGACGTGGTTTAAGGACTCCTGAGTGACTCAGTCGGTTCAGTGCCCAACTCTTGATCTTAGCTCAGATATTGATCTCAGGGTTATGAGTTCAAGCCCCACATTGGGCTCCACACTGGGTGTGGAGCCTACTTTAAAAAAAAAAAGTTAGAAAAAAAGTGAGATGGTTTAAAACCAAAGGTAGGCAAATATTTAAGCACTTTTTAAACCGGCCTTGCAGATAGATGCTGGACTACGTCCAGAGCCTGGTTCTAACCTCTCCTTGTCTGGAGTCGCCTTCCTGGAACAGAGCACCAGAAGCTTCCACCAGAAGCAGTGTCTGTCACACCTTTGAAACACGAACACATGCGCTTGAGAAACGCCACAGGGACAAGCGTGTCCTGAACCGGCTTATAGTCTCGAGGCCGTCCTGGAGTCAGGTTTAGAGGGAGGGTCTCAAAAACAAGAGGGAGGGACCCTTTCTGGAAGCTATGAGCCAGGGACAGAGTGTTCCTAGACATGACAGAGAAGATCGTTCTGGAACCACAGGTGACTGTGCCTCCAGACAGGCCCCGCTTGCTTTGAAGCCTTTGACATGTGGCTTTGGTGGCCTTGAGGGTATGACAGGCTGTGGTGGGAGGTACGGGCAGTCTGGAGCAGAGGGAGGGAGAGGACAGGACAGACCAGGCTAGAACCTGCCCCCCCGACCCCCTGCACTGGGGCCCCTGCCATGAGGCCACTGTGTGCCCCAGGAGGAATTGCTTCCCCTCTCTGCTTTTTAATCAAATGAGGGGGTGAATGTCAGAGTTTAAGGTTTTTTTTGTTTTTTTTTTTTTTTAATTCTGGATCAAGACAGTGAACGTTTCCTGGCCTCCAAAGACTCCCCCTCCTCCCCTCCTATCTGCTGAGCTGTTTTCTGATTCGTGATTCTCCTTGACGGAGCACATTATTCTTTCAGACTCTTCCTGTTCGTTCTAGACCCGCCCCGTCACCAGCCACACGTGGCTGCTGAGCACTTGGGGTCCGGCCTGCATGCCTTGCTTTGTGCCATGTGTATAAAATGTGCACGGGGTTTCGAAAAGTTCCTGCACAGAAAAGAACATGGAAGGTCCCATTAATGATTTAGTCTATTGGTTCCATGTTAAAATGGCAGTATTTTGAAAAAAAAAAAAAAAAATGGCAGTATTTTGGATCTGTAAAGTTTAGACAAGAATCCTATGAAAATTGGTATCGCCTGGTTCTTTTTTCCCCTTTTTGCTAGAAAATGAAACATTCCCTGTGTGTTAGCACTGCTTCAGAGTCAGGACTCCTGTGGCTGTCGGCATCACCTGTGTCTGCCCTGTAGGCATTTGGTGACACGGGGAGGGGTGCTAGGGACAGTGGCTGAGGGTAAAGGTGTGAGCAAAGGGGACGGTGGCTGTGCTTTGCTCAGATGTGCTCTCTGTGGTCCTCTGCTATGGGCTAGCCTTATGTAGGCTCCTTCCCATCCAGTGTGTTGTTCCCAGATTGAGGTTCTAGCTGCCTACAGGGCTGGTTTTGCTGTTTCTGCCTCTTTTTGAAAGGTCACAGTGAAGCTCACTCCTGGGGACACTGGTGTCCACTGTGCCAAGTGGAAGGCCCATTCTGAGGACTGCTGGAAGGAACCGCAGTGGGGAAGGGAGGGACCGATGTGACTTGGGTTTTAGGCTGACTCAGACCTTCTGGGCAATTTCTGTAGCATCCACACCCTGAGGGGAAGTGTCAGTGCACCTTTGAGGCCTCTGGGGGTGCTGAGCATCCTGTGGGGGGGTGGGCTGTGAGGCTTGGTGGGGCCCCCTCTACATGGCTCCACCCCCTCCCACTCCTTTGGCCCCCTGGAAGGCAGATGCTTCTCCCATCGGGGGAGCAGGTGAAGTTGCCACTCTGTGGTTTTTTTTTTGTTTGTTTTTTTGCTATAATCATTTTTGCCTCACCTGGTTTTTAAATCATGTCTGTGGTATCTAGTATAGAGTTTGGGGGGGTGTTTTTTGGTAGTCTGATACATAGCTATTTTGCGGGGGTAATTTTGCTCATTTATGTTTATTGTTATGTTACATTTTTACTAGACTCTCTTATTCTGGATTGCTCCTTATTTTGGCTGTGATTTGTTTTCCGTATGCTTCTGGATTTAAGTTGGACTCTGCGTAGCTCCATGTACAGTTTCCCTGTAGATTTCTTAGTGCCTTATCAAACCTCTTGTTAATCTCAATCTCCTAATGGCTAACAGACGTGAACAGGAGTGCTCATATTTCTTTAGTCACCATATATAGATAGCACACAGCAGGGGAACTTTGCACTTCCTGCTAGAGGCATCTTGAGCTGTTGGCTTCCTCCTCCTCTTCTCTCTGCCTCCCCCCCACCACGCCCCCGCTCCCTGGCACTGGGGCTCAGGTTGAGAAACATGTCAGTTCTCGGTTCCCCTTCCTGGCCCATACGTCCAGCTTGTGTTCAGTCACTGTGCTGAAGACAGACACCGATGCTTAGCCGCACAGGATGGTGGGATGGGAATAGAGAGGGTCAGAAGGTTGTTTAGTCATTCTGGGCTAGTTACACAATCTCTTCAAGCCCAACCCCGTGGGTCTTATCTTAAAAAGAAAAAAAGAAAGAAAGCTAATATACTGAGGGAGGATTAAGTGAGAAGATGTGTGAGGCTGCACCTGGCGCGCATAGGTTGCTTGATAAATATTAACCTTCCCTCCCCCTCCCTGTTAGTATCTTAATGGCTTGGCAGACAGTTTGTCTTTATACTGTGAAACTTGACCTTGAGTGTTCTCTTGGTTTACTCATTCTTCTTGGAGGCTTGGTGACTTTTTTTTTTGGTAGTCTTTTTTTTTTAATTGAAGTGACATTCAGAGAACATAAAATTAGCCATTTTAAATTCTACGACTCACTGGCATTTAGTACATTCACAGTGTTGTGCAACCACCATCCCTCTCTAGTTCCCAAACATTTTCATCCCCCCAGAAGAAACCCCATCCCCATTAGCACTCACCACCTCCCATTTCCCCTCAAACCACAAATCTACTTCCTGTCTCCGTGGATTTGCCTTTTCTGGGCATTTCTTATAAACAGAATCATACAGTATATGTGGTCTTTCATGTCTGGCTCAATGGTTTTGATCATCCAGGATATTGTGTATCAGCACCTCATTCCTTTTTACGGCGGAGTAATACTCCATCACCCGGACAGACTATAGAGCTTTTCTGTCCAAGACATCTGGGTGGTTTCCACATTTTGGCTGTTAGGAATTATGCTTCTGCAAATATTCGTGGACGAGTGTCTGTAGGGATGTGTGCTTTCTTTCCCTTTGTGTAGTTCTCTAGGGATCGAGTTCCTGGATCATATTAAAGGGTTTTAAGAATTAAGTTTGCTGGAGCGCCTGGGTAGCTCAGATGGTTGAGTGTCTGCCTTTGGCTCGGGTCACTATCCTGGAGTCCTGGGATTGAGCCCCGCATCGGGCTCCCTGCTCGGCGGGAAGTCTGCTTCTCCCCCTCTCTCTCCACTGTCCCCCCTGCTTGTGCTCTGTCACTCTCTCTGTCAAATAAATAAATAAAATATTTTTAAAAAATAAAAAAAAAGAATTAAGTTTGCCGATGTGTGACCATGCCTGGTACCCATAGGCACTTAAGGAATGGTGGTCATTGTTTATGCTATTTTCTTGTGGATTTTTTTTTTTTTTTTTTTTTGATGATATTCTGACCTTCTGATTTGTTACTCCTATTTTGGCAAATTTCTTTGTATTCTTCTCTTTCACCGTCCTGAAATTGTCCGTGTTTGCTGAAGTCTTGGGGATCCACGTAGCAAAATAACTGTTGATTCTTCGTGGCTCGGTGTTCTCAGATGAGCCACGTCACCTGCCGCGCGCCTTCATGCCACAGAGATTTACTGAGTACGTCACATGGGCCAGGCTCATGGGGATTTATGGTTGAAGTCTGTGCACTCCAAGGGCGGACAGTGGCTGTTCCTGTTCAGCTCATCAGTGGCTGATGTGACTGCAGCCAGCCATGGTGCGAATGTTCACACCATGGAAATGGGCACAAGGTACCGTTCAGGACCTGTCCCTAGCACCCCACCCCCGGCCCCCATACTGTCTCTCTACACTGTATCCCGATTTCACCCATTTCCTGATCTCCAGTCATGACTTTTTCCTCTTCTTGCCAAACCATGCTGCCACCAAATTTTTATTTTGATCATTTCATAGTATTCTAGGCGCCAGGACTTTGTGGTATGTTTTCTGAGCAACACTTTCATCCTGTCCCTTCTTCACGGGAACTCTGTGTTTTATTTTGTTCTTGCAGAATTTTGCTAAAGAGTTTGTGATCAGCGATCGGAAGGAGCTGGAGGAAGATTTCATTAAGAGCGAGCTCAAGAAGGCCGGGGGCGCCAATTACGACGCGCAGACGGAGTAACCCCCGCCCTCGCCCTGCCCCTTGCAATGTCACCCGCCTGCTCCCCGGGGGAGGGGACCGCGGCCTCAGCCACCAGCCCGCCAGCCCATCAGGGACAGGAGACGCCGTGAGAGGCAACACGCGCCCCCCTGTCTGCAGCCCACCTCCCCTTCCCCGCTCCCCTCCTGAGTGCCCCCCCCACGCCTTATCTCCTGAAGCTCATGGAACATCTTTCTTTCATCTCCCTTTCCTTTTCCCCCGCTTTTGCTTGTTCTAAGGAAAAATCATTTTGATGCCGAGGCCACGCCCCTCAGCAGAGCGGAAGCTTCTCCTGCGGTGAACCCTTTTCCTGGCCTCTCCTGCCATCAGCCTGCATCGCCGGGGGGCAAGGCCACCGTCTGGTGTCCCTTTGCACCCACCTGCTTGGGGGAGGAGGCCACCGTGCCCGTCGGGGGGTCGCCTTGACCCGCACACACATCTATCCCATGTATCAGGCTCAGGCCACCCCCCCAACCCCTGAGTGTGCTCCGGGGCCCCTCCCCCGCCCCCCCCCCCATTCAGGGTTGCCTAAGCTGGGGATCCGTCCGACGGGGACAGTGCTCGGCAGTGAGACACTCAGGCCCGACTTCGAACAGAAGCAAGAAAATTTGCCTTAACAGTTGCCCGGCCGCGGCATGGGCCTGCAGTCTGCAGCGGCTCCTTCCTACCCTTAGGGTTGAAGTCTCATCGTGGCACAGAGCCGGGGCACAGGTCCAAGTCCAGCAGGGACAAGGAGTCCTTCCAGTTTCCCTTCAGGGGCTCCCCCAGCGACGAGGACGCCTGGGAGGGAGGCTGGGGTGCGCGGCAGGAGTTCCGGGTAGAACTGGAGGCCGATGCCTCACTTTCGGGGAGGCCCTCTGTGCTTGGGGGCGGTGGGTGACTGCCACCGAGCCGCCAGTGGAGCGGGTCCCCGCCCTCGGCACCAGAAGGTCTGTGGCGTTCATCCCGGGTCAGCAGCGCACGTTCAAAAGGATTTTTTTTTCCAAAGGAAGATGAGATTGGCTTGGTCCTTCGTGAGCACGGTTCATGTTGTTCTTTTTCTTCTTTTCCTTGCTCGTTTCATTTGGGGGTAGGAAATCTGTGCTGTACTGGGGTCGGGAAGAGCATCTGTCCTCAAACAGTTGACAGAAATAAATGTTTTTTTTTGTTTTTCAAAAAACAGTCTTGTCTGGTTTGTCTGGGAAAGCGGCTTTTTTGACAGGACAGAGGGAGGCCATCATCATATTCTGATCTAACGCGTTGGTGGAGCCACTGGGGGCAAGTTCCATCCGTATTCAGTCCCTTATTTCATTTTTAGCAACAGCCTGAAGAAACGGGGGCCATTTGTGTCCCTGTTTTATGGAAACTGAGGCTCAGGGAGACGGAGCATGTGCGTCACCTGAGGCCGCCTGGCTAGCAAGTGCAGAGCTGGGATTTGGACCCAGGTCTCCCTGTCCTCTGTCGGGGATGGGGCAGAACCCAAAATCAGAGTGGGAAGGAGTCCTCCAGCCCGCCCCCAGCCATGACTGGGTGCTAATATCTGCCCCCTCTGCTTGTAGCTGTGTGGCTTAACCTCTCTGGGCCTCGGGCTCCCCGTCTGCAAATTTAGCAGAAATGTTGACGGCTGGGCTGGGTCGCAAGGCAGAAGGGGCAGCCGCGATCAGGAAGGTGTCCCGTAGGGGCTCAGCTCTCCTTACATCAGGCCCACCACTGGGTCTTGTTAGCTCTGCATGCCCCAGATTTTTCTGACACTTGGAACAGAGGGAGCCAAACTAGGTCTCCGGCTTTGCGGCTCGTGGGTGTTAGTTAGCTCTGGTCAGAGAACTCGGGACAATTACAGATAAGGAGAAGCCCCTTCTGGAAGCGAAGCCGGGTTCTAGGAGGGAAAATTCTGAAGGTACTGGGCTTGGTCAGAGGCATCAAGGCGGACTTCCCTGAGGAGGTGACACCACCTGGGAACTGACGGAGAGGAGCAGTGACGTGGGCAATGGGAGTGAGGTTGGGGGGGTCAAGGGGTCTGCAGACAGAGGCTCCATGGGGATGTTTGCTCCTGGCAAGAGCAAAGAGGATGAAGCTGGGTTTATGTGTCAGGGAGCTTGGTTTGAATGTCAAGTGGCAGCTCAGGCCTTTGTGGGGATTTCAGAGGCACCTGCTGACACTGGGAGGTCTCTGAGGGCAGAGAGAGGCCCTGCCGGTCCACGTCTCCATCCCTGTAACCAGCACCCAGTAGGTATCGGGCACCATCGCCTAGAATTCCCTCCCCCAGCTCCTGTCCCCGCCCAAAGCCTGGGCCGGCCCTGAGCCCTGACCGCTGATGGAGGAGTTGGGGATGGAGCTCTGGGGACCCAAGTCTCTGCTTACATGTGCTCGGAATGACCACCTGGTCGTTCAGCAGCTGCTCCACATTACACAAAATCGAATGGCGGACGACAACCACCATCTTATTTTGCCCTGGATTTTGGGACTCGGGAATTTAGGAAGGGCCCAGCGAGGCGGTTCTCACCGGCAGGGGTCTCGTTTGGTTGAGGTCCGCAGGCTGGACGTTCTGGTGGCTGGCGGCAGACACAGGGGCTTGTGCAGGAGCTCAGTGGGGCGTGGATCTGAGCACCCAGCGTGGCCGCCCGCTCTGGCCCGGCAGGGTTGTGGACCTCCTCCCCCAGAGCGCGAGTCCCCGAGGACTAGAGGGAGGTGCCTGGCCTTTGAGCCTCAGAAGTGACATGGCAGCATTTCCACGGGACCCTCCTGGGGAAGCGGTCATGAGCTCCCCAAGCTCAAGGGCAGGGGACACGGACCTCCCCTTTCAGTGGGAGGAGTGCCAAAGCTTGTGTGACCCTGTTTGTGGCCAGGCACACTGCCAGGGCTGGGGCACCCTCCTGCTCAGGGGCAGAGGCCACCCAAGGGAGGACAGGCCGACTGTTGCCCTGGTGTCTCTGTGCCCTCTGGGGAGCTCGCTGCTCCTGGCTCATCGATCCTTGGGGGAGGCTTCTGTTTCTCCGCTTTACCCTTCTATCCCTGCTGGTTGGTGCCACAGCCCAGGGTCCCACCATGCTAGCTCTAAGTTTGGCGGAAGAGAACACAAACCCCTCCTGTGGTGTGTTTTGCTAGAGCAGGCTGCCATGTGGATGGGGCTTGGGAGGGGGGACTCCCGTCACACCTGTGCTCGCTTAGGACTTGGAGAGAAGTCGTCTCCACAACAGCCTGTGGGCCCACCTGTCCCCCACTGTGGTTCTCAGCGCTCACGAGCCTCCCAGCCCCGAGCAGCCCGGGCGCCTCCAAGACTCCCTTTATGTTTGAGCCTAAGTTCTTAAGTCATAAAACTAAGAGAAAGACATTTTTAAGACTTAATTCTTCCCAACATTGTGCTTTAATTTCAGGCCCTTCCTTGCCCATCAGAAAAGCTCGCCCCAAATTTAGAAGAGAATTCCCCTCCCTGACTACAGCTGCGTATCAGCCCTTTGCTAAAGGCCCTTAAGAGTGCTTCCTTGCCCTGGGCTCAAGTCTCAGCTTCCCGGGAACAAGGGACCAGGAGGCCTTGTTGGTCTCTCTGACCAGGACTGTGCACCTCCCTCCCTGGACCCCCGATCTGGTCGTCCTTCCTTCACTCCCTCCTTCTGGATAGTGACCGGTCTCTGCTTTGAGCTGCTTCTTCTAGAAGGTCCCTCCCACCTCGCTCTCTGTCTTGGGCTGAATGGCGGTCCCCAGAGATACATCCGTGCTTGGGCCTGAGGTCTTTGAGATGTACTTATGTTTAAAGATCTTCAGCCAAGACCATCCAGGATTTAGGACGGGCCCTGAACCAACGGCAGGTGGTCCTTATAAGAGAAAGCAGAGGGAGGCTTGAGACAGGGACGCGGAGGAGGAGGCCAGGTGAAGACAGATGCAGGGGCCGGAGGAGGGACGCCTGAAGCCACAGCAGCTGCGGGAGAGGCAGGCAGTGTCCTCCCCCAGAGCCACCTTCATCTGGAGCTTGGGCCATGCCTTGATTTCAGACTTAAGGCCTCCAGAGCTGTAAGGGGAGACTTTTGTGTTGCCTTAAGCCCCCCACCCCGGCACTCCTGCCCCCAGCGTCGGTGATCAGCTGTAGGAGCCCAGGGTACTTCCTCACATCATTTGCTTCTCCCCCTTCCCCAGTAACTGTGACCAGGGCGGGGACAGTGTCCCCTGTGCCTCTCACACGGTAGGCGCTCAGCCAACAATCAGTGCTCAGGGCCCTGGAGCCGGTGGGGCCCCACCCTGCTGTCCAAGCCTACGGAGAACCCCGACCTGCTCCCACTGGGTCAGATGTTCCGTGCGGAGTTAGGCAAAGAGGCAGGGCAGGAGGAGAGTCCCGGCTTCCTCACCTGGGAACTGGCTCCCGCCTCTGGCTCTGTCCCCTGTCCATCCCTGGAGGACGAGGACATAGCTTATGTGTCTGTCTACCTAGCTGGGGCAACTGACCGGCTCCCCCATCTCCAGGGGCTTCCACTCGCTCCCCTACTGCTACTCCCTTTTAATTGTCCCTGGAGGGGCCTTAAGATACCGCTAGGGAGGCTGCTGCCCAGGCTGGAGTGTGTCTGTCCCAGGGCTGGGGCAGGTGTGGGATTGGTTGGGGCAGGAGGGGCTGGTGGAGAAAATATCGTCAAGGCCAAGAGCGATGCCAGTCCTTCTGTGGAGACCTGCAGGCCGTGAGCCTGGGGAGGGGGCTGGCTGGGACCTGGAACGAGGAGCCCCATCCATGGTCTGGGGGTACCGCCCTGCAGCTGGGGGATAAGGGAGAATAGAGGCTCTTTGGAACGGAGAGCTGACTCTGCCATGCGTTATTTTGTCAACTCAAGAGCGCTAGGGCAGACCTGAACGCATTCTCAGGCTGGCTGATCCCAGCAGTTCCCGAGTCTGATGTCGCAGCCGAGGCCACGCCCAAAACATGCGTGGGCAACACCTGATGGGATTCTACCCGTAAATCCCAAAACATCAAGGTACGGGGCTAAAATGTGCAAAGTCATCAGGCTGTGGAGCTACATTTTCAAACAAAATAAGGGAATATATGCATATGGGGACAAGAACCGGGAGTGCCGGGAGGAGGGGTGCTGAGTCCCGGGGCCAGAGGGAGGAGGGAGGTTGTGTCAGAGTGAGACTCTATGAGCGTTTCTTTGGTATCCTTTATTTTTTAAAAGAGCTGAACAGAAGACGATGAAAGGTAGGCATCTGTGTTACGGGAGGGTAGGGCTATGTTATGTTAGATTATTTTTTCTATTTTCCTGTCTGTTGGGAATACAGATGTTGAGACAGATCTGAAACGAGAATTCACAGAGCACACACAGCAAGGTAGGCAGGACACGTCGGACCGCTCACCTGGAACAGGTGACTTCAGCTGACGTAGGACTGATGGCACAGTCGGGGGAAGCGAAGGGACAAAGCCAGAAGCCCATTGGCCGAGGAGCCCAGCAGGCGGATGGCTGCGCAGGGGCGTGAGTTTGGAGTTTGAAGATCCAAGCACCGACTGAAAGGAGGCTGGTTGCTGTTGGACCCACGCTGTTGGTCTGAAAGATCAAGAGAAAGAATGTTGCTAGAGGCTCCCAGCACCCTCCGCCAGGCTGACTCCCCCAAATCTGGGGGTGCTTCCTGCTTCGGGCTCTGACCCGTGTCCTGTCCAGAAGGCAGGGGCGTGTCTCTGCGGCCGCCCAGCTCTGCTGGCTCCTGGCCCGGTCCCTGGCACACAGTCGGAGTCCAGGGAATCCTCAGCCAATGGGTGTCACCTAAAAGGGCTTGTATCTCAGAGGGTGTCCCCAGACAGCCTGCGGCAGAATCACGTGGCACATTTGCTAAAACGCGGGTAAAATTCCCACACCCCACTCACCCACCCGTGGCCCGTGACTAGGGGGACTGTCTCAGAATCTTTATTTCCAGCAAATGTAGCGAGCGGTTCTTAGCTACTCTCATGAGAACATCTTTGCCGAGGTAGAGCCTGATGGTGGTTTTTCCCCGTGGTTTGTCACGTGCAGGGGCTGGGCCTGCGTTAGCAACACCTGGAGTGTGGTGAAGGCAAGAAGCCAGGCCCCTGGGCGGTGCGGTCACAGACGGGGACGGGGGTGGGGGCCGGGAAGTCCGCGTCCAAACCTCAGGGCAATACACATGCATATGTGGAGGAGCGCGAATTTTTTTAAATAGTTTTTTTAAAAATTTACTTATTTGAGA